ACAATAGAGATTTGTGCGCAGGAAACGAACAGAATCAAACAAACAATAAAGAGAAAGCCGAACAAATAATAAAACTGATTCTCCCATATTGCCTGCAAATGAATCCAAAAATAATAAGGTATATCTCTAAAAGGTTATAAATAGTCAAAAACAACCCCCCCCCCCCCCTCCCCTCATCTCCGCTCCACCTTCCCCTCCTCTTCCCCGCCACCCTCCTGATTCACTATGAAAGGCTGGAATAAGCCCCAACGGTAGAATCTACCAGCATAAAACAAGATCACCAGTGGCCAGCACGACAGCCAGTGGCTCCCTATTCTAAAGGTTTTTACAAGAAGGGTAAAAGCGATAACTGGAAGTAGTTGCTGATCATTTATTAAAGGTTACTAAAGCCGCAAAACGCAAAAAAAAAAAAAAATCTACCGAGAAAATGAAGAATAATTCGATGAATACGGCACCGAACGGGAGAATACCAGCGAGCAGCATACATGGTATAGTGTGCAAATACCATGGCTGGTCCGGAACTTGGCGAGGGATCTGATTTGTGCGCACAGGATGTGAATAAGCCTGGAGCGGTAATAATAATAAAATGCGTATAAAACATGAACAGTTTGGTCTCTATTAAAGCGGAAAGACTGGGTGAACAAAAACAGCTCCAAAATAAGTGAAGCGATGATTTTAAAGCTTGTAGTTAAAGAAAAAAGAAATGAGTGTTTGCAGGAAGAGGAAACGCAATACCTGCTTACGATAGCCGAAATGAAATCCAAGAAATACGAGCGGTAAATCAACACCGAACCATAGCAGCAAAAGAGCAATCATTGTTGTAAATGGTACAGCCCCCGATGAATGTTTTCCAATCAGGAAAAAGTTTAGCAAGAAGCCGATACCAAGAATGATTGATGGGAAAAGCACAGCCGTTTGAAATGCACATCTACGTGGTTTCGAGCCTGAATAGAATTCATTAAAAAAAACTATATCATAGGATTTCACGTAAAATTTATTATGTTTTCCGAAAAAAGTGTAGATTTTTGGCTTTCAAGTTCAAAAGCGCCAGTCTCGAGATCGCTATTCGCAAATTTTTACTGGCTCTTTGGACAACTTGTTTTCCTTCCGAACAAAAGAGAGAGTGAAGTTGTAAACTGCAAAAAAAACCTTTCAAAGTCCTGTAAAGTCGTCCGGCATGATAACCGGCAACAAGACCCATCAAACAATAGAGGACGACTGCTGCGGACATCAACGATCCACGACTTGCTGGTGAGAGCATTCCAAGCATCGCAAAGAAGACAGTAACTGCTACCATACCAATCAACTGAATACCAGCGCCCACGAAGTTCACCAGAAGCATCGAGTTTGGTGGTGGACGAAAGACGTCACCGTGCACCAATTTCCAACCCGTCTCTTCCAAAGTATCTTCCTGAGAAACAATTCAAAACAATCAGCTGCGAAGAAACATACGCCTATGGCTCTTCATATTTCCCATCAAATTGAATCTTTGCATCACCAAAGCAGCAAACAAACTTTCAACTACTACTACAACTCAAACAGCAACATCACAGCAACAAACCTGCCAGTTTTTATGCGTTTTTTGCATCTATACAATGCAAAAACGTATATTATTGAGAAGCTATCTGTGTGTGTGTGTGTGTGTGTGTGTGTGTGTGTGTGTGTGTGTGTGTGTGTGTGTGTGTG